AATAACAATATGAAATTTGAACATAAAACGAATAACTTATAGAACAATATTTAAAAAATTCAACTACAAATAAAATAATAATCATAATAAAACTATGCATAAGAAATTTACAAATAGGATATTTCATTTTGTGTTACAGGTTCCAGCCACGAGCATTTTCACCTGCCCAAACGGTGAGTAACAAATTCTTATATATTTTCTCTTTCTCTTAACCTCAGAATAATCGTAATGCCAGAAGTTACAATTCGAATGACTCAAGCATTTTGTATAAGTATAAATCGAGATTTGGTATGATAAAGTGGAGTCAAAGAACTGAAAAATACTTGGAAACGAGAGGCTCGGCAGTGAGTCGGCGATCGTGTTATACCTGTAGACTTTGGATTGTATCTGAAATATTTGTTTGGGGAAAAGTACGGGAGAGCGTCGAGTCAGAACCGACAGCAGGTCACATTTTAAGGTTCACTTTAAAGGGAATGGTGATTTTTTAAAAAAATTTTCCCCCGTTTTCTCGGCCACTATATTTATAGCCTTACATTCTGTGTGAACATTTTTCTGCCGCTATAAGACATCCGAGCGTGAAAAAAAGTGAAAAATGTCCTCAGGAGGAGGAATTTTAACATCTTTCTTCATGTTGATAGCTGTTTTTATTTTGTATTTTATTAAAAAATTCCTTTAATGAAAGGGTACATTAAAATTTTAAAAATCCCTATATATATATATATATCCCTATATATGAGATGCTAAGAAATTACGTATATTTCTGTGTACTTGTGAATCTGAATTTCTGAAATTCAAATCTACACTGCACTGCAGTGTAACTAATTATAAAGTAATTAATTGTCAAGCTAAGTAAATTAGCACGTCTTGACATTTCAACGTGAAAAATGTTTTGGTATTTGCGCTTCGATAGACGCGCTTATTCCTCAAAGTATAATATCGCAATACGAAATAAGCATTGCGATTTGTCATTTATGCTATTGATCAAATTTTGAAATGACGTTTAACGCAACGACAAATATATTAGCGCCTATCAAATTTTCTATGCTAAGGCAGAAAAATAATTCTGCACACCCGTAAACAATAAAGCTTTTATAAGACGAGGATAAGAATGCGAGAAGAAAGAGAGAAATGTCAAAGTACACTTGAGTTGCTATTTTGACCTAACAACATCAAGTATTTGATATTTAATTTTCAATAATCACATTAGAACATTGGAGCGACGACATTTTTAAGCATCCAGAGCGACAATATTATATTGTCAAAAGGATGATTATCTCACCATCCATCCATTGCTTTACCCTCGTGAATTTCGCAAGAATACAAGAAGCACAAATGTTATATGGCAGCAGAATCTATCAAAAACCGAACAATTTGTGTATATTATAATATACGGGTACGCAGAATATCGTAACAAAATGTTAATTAACAACGATCATTAATCCTCCTTAAAAACTTTCCTTTTAATTGAGAGGCTCTATTTTTAAAACGGCGATAAATATAGGTCTGACCTTGGAAAGAAAACGTAAACTCAACGTCACACGCAATCTAATAATTCCAAAGGCCCCCAACGCTCCCTTAAGACAACGGACTTTTTCAATGAATATTTACAAACGGTGATGGCAAATCCATTGCTCGAGACGGCAAATCCATGCTTCCATCAGTTTCCCTATTCAGTGGCCGACACCCGCGGTAGTGGCCAAGAGGCCGAAAAGAGCCGCCGCGCAGGAAGAATCGACGGCTGGCTGAGTCGTGTGCACGTGACTTGGGCCCCGGGGTGAACGGCACCGGCGGATCCTCAACTGCGTTCACAAGCGGCAACCTACATAATTGCCACGCGGCGTCTGCGCAAAAGTGGAACGGTGCTAACGAATGCTCGAATTCACGGCGCTGTTCGGGCGCGTTTCCGTGTCGTCGCTCCACTCTCGGCAAACGCATTTTTCATCCGCTTTCCTCGCGGCGCTGCCCCGGCACTTTTAGTTGGCAGCCCGAGGATAGAGGCGGAAGTACCGGCGGGCAGTCGGTACTACTCGAGCACCCAGGCGAAACTCGGCCGCTGATGTGGTTGAGCCGCCACCCAATGCAGCAGCTTCGTTTGGTTGCGAAATCTCGCTGGAGCATTAAGACGAGATGCCGTGATTAATTTATCCGGCTTTGGCTGGGTTTTGAAGCTTTTGGAAATGTACGACGATCGTAGTGCCGATCCTGTATACTCTCATCGGGTTCATAGGACCCGATCCTTGCAAATGCTACCACTACATTGCTAATAGTGAATGAGATTTCACGGGTTACGACGAATGACCAATTATCATCAAATACAACGTCAAAAAATCAATTATTGATACTTATAATGTTCATAATGGAATCGATATTTATAATATTTCCAGTGTAATCGACGTTTATAAAATTTCTAATGGTATGGTACGTTCGCTAGGTGTTAGTAAAAGAGCCACGTCTTGGTAAAATTAATTTTTCTTTGCATTCGAAATTATCGAAAGTAGCAGCGCTTCATCAATATACAACGGCCATCGCATATTTATGAAGATGCGTTCGCTCGGAGAACCAACCATCCTGTATAGTAATTTATCCTTATACGTTATATCTAATTTAATATTTCCGTACACGCCAACTCGTTTCCCGAGCATTAATGAATGTATTAATATATTTGTACATTTTAATTTTTATTTCAATTTTCAATAGATGTTTAAAATATTTATCATACCGTTGCTATTCTTCGTCGTTTCAGATTTTCAAACAAAGAAGAAAGAGACATTAATAGAATTAATGAGCCTCGTACTTAGGAATATTTTATAAAATAATTATTTTTACAGAAATTTGTAATACGTGGCGTCGGAAATTAATTTCCTATGCGCGTAAATCATTAGACTAAAATACAAACTTTTTTGCTTTTTTTTCTGTTTTTATTTCAATTTAAGGTTAAATATCCTTTTTGAAAAAGGTCATTTCGTACTGTCAAACGAGGAAACAGAATCGAACATCAAGTTCCCTACAGAAATTCCTAATTTAAGCAAGACATTTGCATATTATCCATGTTGCGTTAAAAAAAATTTCAAATTACATAAAAGTTTCTCCTACAGCAATGTAATAAGATTCCAAAGGTCATTATCCTACACACCAATAGAATTTAATCGCCTGACTCGCTTGTGAAGAGCTCCTCGTCTCCCGCGAGCCCCTCATTTTGAAGGATTCAGGTGACACGGATTGATTTCTCAGAAGATAAACATGGTGAATAAATACAGAGACGCGGGAGAAAGAAATTGTCGGCCAAAGAAGAAGCGGGCGAAGGTGGTGAAAAGAGAGAGCACGCGTAAATCAAGTAACTACTTCCTAGCAAAACCCGACGTAACAAGCAATCATAGGAGGCCCATAAAACTTATGCGATATAATGCTTGAAAAGAGATGGATATGTTAGGCAGATCTATAATTATTTTACAATGTAAATTAATGACTCTACGAAGGCAAATTTGGGCATATTTTAATAAGAGAGCATCGATGAAACATTGATGGTAAAAAATATAATTTTTATTACGACATTGTTGCTTATCACAGAATGTAGTTATATCATAAATTATTTCATTCGGAGCTAATTATTATAATTATATAGAGCAGACTTATTATTTTTGAATGATGAGAAAGCCCGAGTAGTCTCGAGATTGTGCAAGGGACTCCATTTATTTTATATATTTTTACTAAAGTTGTGTAATGTATAATTCTAATTTGAACCCTGAAAATGCATAATATTGGTTTCTATATAATAAACATTTAAACATAATAATTGCAAAAGGTTTTTCATTTTTAATATTTAAAATTATTGTTTTGGCAAAATATTGAAATTATCGACACTTTCATGTAGATATACAATAAACATGAATAACAGTTTTAAAATTATTATCAAAAGCAAAAGTTTTTTAAATGTCGTAAACATCATATATACATTTTATTTTTATATTATGTTAATATAATGTAAACTATAGGTTAAATCTCAGTTGGTCTATCATATTCTTTGCACCTAAGCTCTACTTGCAACATCTATGCCTACTTTTGATCTCCAACCACGCTATCATACATAAATATACTCTCTCTCTCTCTCTCTCTCTCTCTCTCTGTTTGTTTGTCTCATTCACTGTCTTTCATATCCGCTTGTTCGTGCATGCATGTAATGCATAAAAGCGTGTATGTGATAAAATGTGCACTGAAAACGATTGAGGCCAGAAACATGAGATATTTGTATGTATACATACACCCTTTAAAGTACAGTATTTTTTATGATTTTTTCCGATAGCCTAAATACACTTTTATAAATAGTAATGACTGTTAAGATTATTATTAATATTGCAAATAAAATTATGATGATGATAATGATCATGACGATGAAGATAATCTTGATTATTGAGATCAAGTTATTTCAATGAAAAATCGTAAATTGACAATCAATTGATTCTATATCTCAAGGATTCTAATTTTAAGTGTAATGTCATTACTCATTTTAAAATACATTTGATAGACACTATTTGGATGGTCGTGTTTATATAAATATAAAGTAAAATTATTTATTTGGCATGATATATTTTAATGTTTTAATAGTATAATTTTCTTTTTAATGAATGAATAAATTTGGAAGAGTTAATTATTTTAATTGGTGACCACCAATCTATTGTAGTAATGATTAGTTAATGTATATAATGACAAAAGCACAACCTCGATAAATATAATTTTAAAAATTAATTTTGTGATTCTAAATATTAATAGTAATTTTTTTTTTTTTTTTTTTTTTTTTTTTTTTTTTTTTTTTTTTACTAATTTAACGTATGGAGTAATTATGCCTTAAAATTCTATTAATTGTAAATACTATAATCAGTAGGTATGCATATTAATTAATTAATTAATTAATTGTAATAGTCTTACTAAATGAGTAATATTTGAATAAATCATTATCATCAACAGTAAGGAAACCAATATATTCAAATCCATTTTTATATGTTATGTTCATAGGATGGGAGCTGAAAGGCATCCACTGTTACAAATTCTTCAACATCAGGCATTCATGGGAAAAGGCAGCGGAACTATGTAGAAGGTAATCCCTTAAGCTATTCAACTAAACTATATTGTCTATGCACGTAACATTCGCATCCTGGATTCCCACGATACGCGAGCACTTTGAAGGCTCTTAAAACTTGGGATCTATTGTCGATATTGTTTTTATCATAGATTTAGTTATATTACTTGTTCTTATAAAATAAAGATTTTAATTTCCGTAACAATCCAAATCGAATAATACAAATACACTATGGGATTTCAGTATTTGGTAAATTTTTCGTTAATTGATTGGTCATTGTTGCGCGCTTTGCATGCTGTACGGGCATAAATAAACGAATAAAATATCACTTGCGAGTAAAATGCCTTGTTCATATTATTTATTCTATATTGAAAATTCAATAATCTGTCCGACGTTCATAATGGTAAATAAAGTCAATTCCACGATCGTTATTTCCGTGTTGCTTTAAACTTTTAATAATACCAAAACCGTCTCAAATAATAAAAACTCGACGATATCTCAATCCATAAAGTCGAAGGTACGTACTCGGGCGAGATTACCATGCTACGTCGGACAGAGTAACATTATCATGAATACCCACATAAATAAATTGCCACGCAGATACGGCAGTGAATTGATGGTGGTCGAGTCGTATGGCGAGAACAATGTATCTGCCAGTATGATCGGTCGTCACCTGGACCGTTATTGGCTAGGTTTAGCATCCTTGGATGATCTGCGGACAAATACCTTGGAGTCAGCAGCTGGGATGCTTGTCTCTCAATATGCTGGTTAGTGTGTTATTTCTAATGTACTTTTAATGCTCTTGTTATTATTTGTTTTTTTTTTTGTTTTTTTTTTGTTTTTTTTTTTTGTTTTTTTTTTTGTTTTTTTTTTTGTTTTTTTTTTTGTTTTTTTTTTTGTTTTTTTTTTTGTTTTTTTTTTTGTTTTTTTTTTTGTTTTTTTTTTTGTTTTTTTTTTTGATTTGCCGATTCAGACATAGATCGTCGAAAGTGTATCGAGCCCCTTTCAAATTTCAAAACTTGTACTAACTTTTGGCTCAACTTGCCCATAAGACAATACAATTTTTAATAAACGTATGCTTGGATAATTGCATTTATAAAAAGGTGTGAGTTTTGTGAAATCGTGTTGTATTTTAGGAGAGATGAAGTTGTGCTACATCAGTTTAATGTGATGGCAAACGCATAATGAAAAAAAATTGATTCAAATTGTTCTAAAATCATATATGCGTTATATGATTTTCTCTTTTTTTTGTTTTTTTTTTTTTTTTTTTTTTTTTTTTTTTTTTTTTTTTTTGTTTGGTTCTAACAACTAATAAGAACTATAATTTTTGAATATAATGTCAACTCCTTTATTATTATTATCATATCGATACGTGTATGTATTTCGGTCCAATTAATGTATCCGCATAATATTTGCTTGCGATGCTGCAATTTATGGATAAATAATTGGAGAGAATGACAGAATGCACAACTATTTTCCACGCCGAAGTTTCGAAAATGAAAAGCTATGCACGCGCTCGACGACACTGGCGACAAAAGCATGTATTTTACTTCGAAAGCGAAATCGTCGAGGCTTAGTAAGTAATGTCTAACTGGTACTTGTAGGAATTATATGCTCGGGGGCCTGATTTCTGAGAAGGGATACAGCGCGCTATTTTCATCAAAGAAAGTTTATGACGAGTACGCGCGTTGGTAAAATGTCGTCTTACGCTACTCTATTACGCATGGCCAATGAAGCCAAAATAACATTATTACGAGGAATACTCGTATGGAGTATATTGCGTTGAATGTCGTATAACGTTGCCCAATAATTTTCATATAAAAGCCGGCAAATCAGGCATTCTTCGCGAGCCACTTAACAATTCGATCCCTAATTACTAATTATAAATTAGAATGTTCCCTAAAATTACGTTATTTGCAAGAGCGAGAGCAGCACTTATGAATTCGATTGGAATGTAAGATGGAGAAAGGCGAGTGAGATTTAACGAACGACCGATCGATATATTACGTAGTCTACATTTCGGATGATGTCCTATTCGATGTTTTTGCGTCCTGAAAAGAGTCCTGAATGAGTTTCCAGCTGGGAAGAAAGAGCTAAGAGCATTTTCTAAAAACGCAATTGAGCTCAGTCTAGCTTGCATTATTCGAGTCTTCCATCGAGGTCGCGGAAATGCGGAACTCGCGTGCACCTCGGCACGAAGACACACTTTTCCTGTAGCATCGGCGTAGCCCGCCATTGCGGATTCTCTCGGCGCCGGCTTTTCGCGACCGCGTCTTCGCCTTCACGTGTCCGACACGCTACGGTGATTTTCATTTTGCATAATGGGGCGCCCCCGCATGCGTAAAACTCGTAATCGTCGGCTGTGTGCTTATAAAGTTGAGGCGTACGAAGTAAGGGGGAATTTTACAGAGAACGGGAGGAATAATTGCATACATTGCGCTTGCGCTGTAAAAGATAAGAAGTAGCGTGGAAAAGCATGCATTGTAATAAGATTGATTCAGTTTTGCAATTTCTTAGAGATTCTAATTCCGAAGATTAATTTAGAGTTATCGTTGGCATTAGGGGCATCTCAATGCCGAGAAACGTTACTCCCAACATTATGCGCCAATTATATTATTATGGGGTTAAGAAGCAGTAAACTTTTACATAATGTCGCTTCGTATTGTACGTGGCCAATAAAAGAGTCTCGCCTCGTAGAAAAACTTTAGAAAGAAAAGTGTCATAAAATTCAGGTTAAACATTGCAACAATATTTTTCACGCATTTCCTTACTTTGCAATTGCTTAATACATATTTAATATTTATTTATTTAATATTAAATTAAATTACAAATAAAGTACAATTAAATTAAATTGATAGTACAATCGAAAAATGACGTTACTTTCTTTTATTATACTCGGCGGTAACACACACTATTGCCTGATTAAATTGCACGCAACATTTAATAAATAATATACCAAACGGCTGACTTCAAAGCTGATTTTATATGTCTTGTGTATCCATCTCCCTTTTCATAAAAAAATGTGACAATAAAAATAAGAAATATTATTAAGATATTAATTATTATGAAGATTTGTATTCCACAACACACTCGCACGCGAGCGCGCACACATACATACACACACACACACACACACACACACACACACACACACAAACACACATACACACATACAAACACACACACACACACACACACACACAAACACACATTACTAATAAATAAACTAAATAATAATTTATAAAAACATAAATTTATATATACATATGTTTGGATGGATTTTTAAAGAAAATATTTTATAATCAATGGCAATATATAAGCATACGTACATATATTGTCTAAAGATTACTTTATTTATGTTCTACTAACGCAATTTTAATCTTCTATATAAGATATTTTAATAAAAAATCATGCTTCACCGTATCTCTTGTAAATTATAATAAAATATATTTTCTATTCATGCGTAGTACGTTTGTTGGATTAATAAACTCGATGAAGATTATTAAGTATGCCAATATTATATCAAATTACCTACTACTTTATAAATTTATAAATATTTGCCGAGAATTGTCGATAATTTATAGAAATCGGTAGAAATGCGATAGAATGTGCCTTTTAAACTAACAATACAAATGTAGGTTTCTGGGCGCCGAGACAGCCGAATCCTCGTTCCGGCGAATGTGTCGACGTAAAAGTTACCGACGATCAACATCAATCATGGGAGCTCACCACATGCGAGTCTCTTCTTCCGTTCATGTGCCGCGCCAACGCCTGTCCAGCAGGTAAATTATCTTCTTAAATAATTCGTGTGTAGGTCAAATTGCATATACTTTCCCACACGGACTCGATCTTTCTTTATAGGCTCGTTCCACTGCTCTAATGGCAAATGCATCAACAGCGCCTATAAGTGCGACAAACAGGATGATTGTGGCGATTATTCGGATGAAATCGATTGTGCATCGAATTGTCAGTTCTATATGGCCAGTAGTGGTGATGTCGTCGAGAGTCCAAATTACCCACATAAGTACATGCCTTTGAGCAATTGTAAGTGGACTTTGGAAGGCCCCCAGGGACATAACATCCTCTTGCAGGTAATAAAGAAATTTTTTCTCCAAAATAGATTTCTGAAATAATCAATTCATATTATCGAACGCACTAATTATTTAATTAATGTAATAAAATTATGGAATATAAAAGTGTGTTGTGTGAAAATATGATAATGTTAATTTATCATAGAAAGATAGATTTATGAAAGTATAATCGACTATGTGTTGTGAGGATAATTATAATGTCTTGATTAATAATGAAAAAAATTATGAATAATAATGAAAAATAATAATCAAAAATTGCAATCACGAAACTAATTTCTCATGTTATTATTATTATTTTTCCTAACAGTTCCAAGAATTTGAAACGGAAAAGAGCTTTGATATCGTACAGATCCTCGTTGGTGGTAGAACCGAGGAAAAATCAGTGAACTTAGCAACGCTATCGGGTAGACAAGAATTGAGCAATAAGCTCTTCGTCTCGGCATCGAATTTTATGATTATAAAATTTAGCAGCGACGGTTCGGTGGAACGAAAGGGATTCCGTGCCTCTTGGAAAACCGAACCGCAGACGTGCGGCGGCATATTGAGGGCTACACCTCAGGGTCAAACTCTTATATCACCAGGATATCCACAAAATTATCCCGGCGGTCTGGAATGTCTATACATAATTCAGGCTCAGCCTGGAAGAATTATTTCGCTCGAGGTGTGTTTTACAATGCTAGTAGAATAAAAACTTTCACTCGCTTAAATAACAAAAGAATATTACGAATGATATATCCCTATAATGCCTATACGAGCCATCAACATTGTTATTTGGAATTTTGCTTAAATTATTTTATTTGATAAGTCTATGCATTGCACATGATGGCACACACACACACACACACACACACACACACACACATTCTCTCTCTCTCTCTCTCTCTCTCTCTCTGTCTCTTTCTCAATATCGTTTAAATGAAAAAATGAATAAAAATTTCCATTGAGATCGTAAATTAACGAAATGTGATATGTTAAAAAGAAAGATATTTACGAAATTCCCAAGACAATTAACGCTGCAATTTTCCTTAGATCGAAGACTTGGATTTGGAGGCAAACCGTGACTATATCTTAATAAGGGACGGCGAATCGCCAATGAGTCGACCAATTGCCAGATTAACAGGAGATTCCGATGACAATCCAAAAGTCATAATGTCAACAACGAGCAATCTCTATCTCTACTTTAAAACGAGCCTCGGTGACTCTAAGCGCGGTTTCAGCATTCGTTATACCCAAGGATGCAAAGCCTCGATCGTGGCTCACAATGGAACCGTTCAATCACCATCGTACGGACTCAATGATTATCCAAACAATCAGGAGTGCCTGTATAGAGTTAAAAATTTAAAAGGAGGGCCACTTTCATTAAAATTCGTCAATTTCAATGTTCATAAGACTGATTATGTACAGGTACGAGACTTCATTTGTCTCGCGAAATTTTGACGAATAAAGATAATTAACACAAGCCTATGATTTATAAAATTCTTCTTCATTTAAGGTGTACGATGGGCCGAATATGGATGGCTTGAGGCTACATTCTGGTAGTGGTTTTACATCGAATACACGTCCAAAAATTACACTTACCGCCGAAAGTGGAGAAATGCTTATAAGATTCGTTTCCGATGCACTTCATAGTAGCACGGGATGGCAAGCTACTTTCTCAGCTGGTTTGTACCTCTCTCTCTCTCTCTCTCTCTCTCTCTCTCTCTCTCTAGTTATCGATAAATTAAAAAATTAAAAATATTAATTATCGAGGTTGAAAAATTTCTGCGTGCAATTAATAGTAGATGCGCAGCTCGATATTAAGCTCTGAATTACAATGCGCTACGAACGTGATTCTTTCAGATTGTCCACCATTACAATCCGGAGAGGGAGCAATGGCGTCGAACCGCGACACAGCATTTGGCACGGTAGTTATATTTTCGTGTCCACTTGGTCAGGAATTCGCAACTGGGAAAGTTAAAATTACAACCGAATGCTTGCCAAGCGGAAACTGGTCCATTACTTACATACCAAAATGTCAAGAAGTTTACTGCGGTCCAGTGCCACAAATTGACAACGGATTCTCCATCGGATCATCTAATGTCACTTATCGTGGAGTCGCAACTTACCAATGCTATGCCGGCTTCGCTTTTCCAACTGGAAGGCCTACCGAGAAAATTTCCTGTCTCGCAGATGGCATGTGGGAAAAGAAACCTTCTTGTCTCGGTAATAATATCGTCACCATATATTCTGTTAAAAAGACAAGATTAAATTAAAAATCATTATGAAATTTGCACACCCATGTCGAATTAATTATGCATTGAATGATGAAAATTAAAATAAAAATAAAAACAATTATTATCGTTACAGCGTCTCAATGCCCTCCTCTTCCGGGAGCACCGCACGCTAATCTCACGATTTTGAACGGGGGAGGACGTAGTTATGGTACTATTGTGAGATTTGAATGCGAACCAGGATACGTCAGAAGTGGTCATCCGGTTATCCTCTGTATGAGCAATGGAACTTGGTCTGACGAGGTTCCAGTTTGCTCCCGTAAGCTTATGACATTTAATTAGATTCGAATAGAATTTAGACTTGGCAGTGAATCGCATTCTCATGGGATTTCAGTCAATATCGTACTACAAAACTAATAAATATATACGGATTTTCAGGTGCAAGATGCCCGATTCTTCCAGCGATCAAAAATGGATTTGTCGTTGACTCTTCGAAGGATTATTATTTTGGCGACGATGCTCGAGTTCAATGCAACAAAGGCTATAAATTATCCGGATCGAACATCATTAGTTGCGGCACAATGCAACGTTTTGAAAACGTACCTACCTGCGAAGGTACTTGTTCCGTCACTTTGAAATATGCACTTTTCTCATAATAATAATAAATAATAATAATAATAATAATAAATAATAATAATAATAATAAATAATTATAAATAATAATAATAAAAACAACGATGATAATAATAATAATAATCATGGCCGTCGTCGTCATTATCATCATGATCATAAAATGCATTGCTAATATATTTATAGATATCAACGAGTGTGCTTCCAGTCAATGTGATCTAGCCTCGACAGAATGTATCAATACACCAGGAGCATTCACGTGCAAATGTAAATTAGGTTTCTCTTCGACGATGGAATGCAGATTTAGGTCTAATTAATGGCGGTATTCCCGATGAATCAATTACTGTCTCTAGTTCTGAAAATGGATACACAAAATCGGTATGATTTCGATTTATTATTGATTATAATTATTTGTCTTTAAGCAGCCGTGAATGAACGATAAAAGGCGCTAAATATCAATTAAAAATTTAATTATATTTTATGAGAAATTATACCTAATATAAATATATGTACATATAAACTGCACAAATATAATCGCAAATGTCGGCTAAAATTTACGTTTACATACAGATGTCCTTTGCAACAAGTCACATATTTTTAAAAATTCATAAAATCATTAATCATATATATATATATATATATATATATATATATATAAATTCTCAAATATTTCAATAAATATTAAAAAATTAAATTGATATTTTTATTGAAGCCTTTCTGTTGGGAAAAAATTTTGTGCACGCTTGCGAGAATGCTCTGTCACGTACTAACTTTTAAATAATTCATAAATAACTGTAACAGGGTATTCGATTGAACAACGGCGATGGCTGGTGCGGCAATAACGTCGAGCCTGGAGCAAATTGGGTCACGATAGACATGAAGGCGCCCACTATAATTCGAGGTTTTAGAACACAAGTGGTCGCCCGAGCCGACGGGAACGTCGCATTTACAACGGCTGTACGAATTCAGTATACCGATAATTTAACGGACATCTTCAAAGATTATACCAATCCGGACGGCACACCCGTGGAATTCCGCATACTCGAGCCGACCCTCTCGGTATTAAATCTGCCAGTGTCCATTGAGACGAGATTTCTTCGCTTCCGCGTCCAAGATTACGTAGGCGCGCCGTGCATGAAATTGGAAATTATGGGCTGCACTCGTTTGGAGTGTACGGACATTAACGAGTGTGCGAACAACAATGGCGGATGTCATCAGAAGTGTAACAATAATCCCGGTGGCTTCACCTGCTCATGCAACACTGGCTTCGAGCTTTACAAGGGCAACGGGACAGCGGGCTTCGCCATTGAAAAATCCGAGACGGGACAACGCGATGGCGACGTTTATCAAAGAAACAAGACCTGCGTTCCCGTTATGTGTCCACTTTTGCCTGCCCCTGACAATGGAAAGATCTTATCCACAAAAGTGAGTGTCGCAAAGTTTACGTATTTTCTTTATTCAATTGCCTATGCCGAGTATTATGTAATATCAATGCAAATAATCAATAATATAGTATTATGAATGAAAAAATATCGTGCTAAATTGTCTCGTGTGTGTTATCAGGTACAATATCATTTTGGTGATCTCGTGAAATTCCAATGTGATTTTGGATATGTTCTTACCGGCTCTTCGGCTGTACTTTGCACATCCTCCGGAGTGTGGAATGGCACGACACCGGCATGCCAATGTACGAATGAGATAATGTTTTTGGCTCGGCTGTCGTTGGCTACAGCTGTCGATTAACGAACGAATTTTACAATTCTTTTGCAGATGCCAAGTGCGTATCGCTACCTGATGATAAAAACGAAGGACTGTCGGTCATTAGGGGCGATGAAAGCAGTGTATTAGTTCCGTTCAAGCAGAATGTCACTCTCAAGTGCACGAATAATGGCCGCTCCCTTCGCAATACCGCCACTTCGGGCTTCCGCCAATGCGTTTACGATCCAAAAGTTGGCTATCCGGATTACTGGCTTTCTGGATCGCAACCCGCTTGCCCGAGGTCTGATTGCGGAAAGCCATTGCCGACTCCGGGCGCCGAATACGGCCAGTACACGGACACGAAATATCAATCGTCCTTCTTCTTTGGCTGTCAAGATACGTTTAAGCTTGCCGGGCAAACTAATCGGCACGACAACGTGGTGCGCTGCCAAGCCAACGGAGTTTGGGATTTCGGCAATCTCCGTTGCGAAGGGCCCGTTTGCGAAGATCCGGGCAGACCCGCGGATGGCCATCAAATTGCACGTAGCTACGAGCAAGGATCCGAAGTTCAGTTCGGATGTTCCAGGCCCGGCTATATCTTAATCAATCCGCGGCCAATTGTCTGTCTGCGCGAGCCAGAATGCAAAGTGGTGAAGCCGCTAGGCTTAGCCTCCGGGAGGATTCCAGATTCCGCTATAAACGCGACCTCGGAGAGGCCAAATTACGAAGCAAAGAACGTGAGATTGAACTCGGTTACAGGCTGGTGTGGCAAACAAGAGGCGTTCACGTACGTGAGCGTCGACATGGGCCGAGTTTATAGAATCAAAGCGATTTTAGTGAAGGGAGTGGTGACGAATGACGTGGTCGGGAGGCCAACGGAAATTCGATTCTTTTACAAGCAAGCCGAAAGTGAGAATTACGTCGTATACTTTCCCAACTTCAATCTCACAATGCGCGATCCTGGCAATTACGGAGAGCTAGCAATGATCACTCTACCCAAATACGTTCAAGCCAGATTCGTAATTCTCGGCATTGTCAGTTACATGGACAATGCTTGTCTCAAATTCGAATTGATGGGATGCGAAGAGCCAATTATCGATCCACTTTTGGGATACGATTATGGCTTCTCGCCTTGTGTCGACAACGAACCGCCGGTTTTCCAAAATTGTCCCCAACAGCCCATCGTCGTGCAGAAAGGTCCCGATGGTGGCTTACTTCCGGTAAACTTTACCGAGCCAACGGCCGTCGATAACAGTGGCAGTATCGCCAGGCTCGAGGTCAAGCCCCAAAGTTTCAAGACGCCGATTCGCGTATTTGACGATACGGTTGTCAAATACATTGCCTACGATTACGATGGAAATGTCGCCATATGCGAAATTAACATTACCGTACCAGGTAAAGTCCCATTTTCCCCCGCAATTATTTCCATTTACAATTTACTACGTTCAACGAACCCATAAACACGACAAATAGCAAAAAACAAACTTAACCCCCACCCCCCCACCCCCCTCCCCCTTTCCATTACTTACAGATGTGACTCCGCCGAGATTAAGCTGCCCTCAAAGTTACGTGATAGAGCTCGTGGACAAGCAGGACAGCTACCCCGTAAACTTCAACGAAACTCGTCGCAGAATTAACACTACGGACGCCTTCGGACCCGTCAAACTAACCTTCATTCCAGATCACGCGATCATTCCGATCGGCGGCTTCGAAAACGTCACTGTCCTCGCGACCGACACGAGTGGCAATAGGGCCTTCTGCCACTTTCAAGTCTCTGTTCAAGCCACGCCTTGCGTCGATTGGGAGCTAAAACCACCGACTAATGGTGGACTAAAGTGCCTTCCCAACGATAAAGGACTCCAGTGCATCGCCACTTGCAAATCCGGTTACCGATTTACCGACGGAGCTCCGGTAAAGACCTTCTCCTGTGACGTGCAGAGACACTGGGCGCCAACTTCCGTTGTACCCGATTGCGTCTCCGAGAGTATGTATTTTAATCCAAGGTTATTCATTCGTCCCCTGTGCTTATCAATACGCGACGACACTCTAATGCTGTTTCTTTTCTCTTTTCTTCTTCCATTACAATAGATACTCAACAGGCGGACTATCACGTGATCGCGTCGGTCACGTATCGCGCCAATGGTGCCGTCTCTCGATCATGTTTACCTCAGTATCAGGATTTATTGTCCCAATATTATTTGAATCTCAATAATATTTTAACACAGCGCTGCTCGGCTGTTAACGTGAACATGAACGTTTCGTTCGTACGTTCCTTACCCACCCTCCTCGAGGAGAATGTCCTGAAGGTCAGTGCCTCCTCACTTTATCCTAATCTTTATGCATTTTTATGTAATTATTAAGGCGATCGTCGCTAAGCATTGATAAGTTCAACTATAGAAATGGTGGCCCATTGCTTTTATTGCAGATTGACTTTGTTCTGTCGATTGTGCCTGCGATTCGGCAGCCCCAACTCTACGATCTCTGCGGCTCGACGTTAAATTTGATCTTCGATCTCTCGGTACCGCACGCCAGCGCAGTGATCGAGCCACTGTTGAACGTCTCGGCCATTGGTAATCAGTGCCCGCCCTTGAGAGCTCTTAAGTCGTCCATCTCTCGTGGTTTCACCTGCAGTATCGGCGAGGTCTTGAATATGGACACCAACGACGTACCTCGATGCTGTAAGTTTACGTTCCTTTACAAACAAACAAACGTTCACGCTTTTCCATCATCCATTACAAGCGCCATTAATCGAGCTTATTCATTAATCGAAACGTCGAGCAAATGAGACATTCTGCAATTTGTGCACATTGCGCTTTCAGTGCACTGCCCGGCGGGAACGTACGCCGGGGAGAAGCAGAAGCTCTGCACCTCCTGTCCTAAGGGCTATTATCAAAACAGCGATCGGCAAGGCTCCTGTTTGCGCTGTCCATTTGGCACTTACACGAAGGAAGAGGGCTCGAAGAGCATCGACGACTGCATACCTGTTTGCGGTTACGGGACCTACTCGCCTACCGGCTTAGTGCCTTGTCTCGAGTGCCCAAGAAACAGCTACAGCGGCGAGCCACCGATCGGCGGCTTCAAGGATTGTCAAACCTGTCCGGCCGGCACGTTCACCTATCAGCCGGCAGCTCCCGGCAAATCGAGATGCCAAGCTAAATGCTCCCCCGGAATGTATTCCGATACGGGTTTGGCGCCCTGCGCCCAATGCCCCAAAGACTTCTTTCAGCCCCAACACGGCGCCACCACGTGCAACGAGTGTCCCGCGAACATGTACACGGATAAGTCCGGGGCGGTTGGCCGTGAAGAGTGTAAGCCCGTGCAATGCACGGACAACGTCTGCCAACATGGCGGATTGTGCGTGCCCTTGGGCCACGGGATTCAGTGCTTCTGTCCTGCTGGATTCTCCGGCAGACGTTGCGAGATCGACATTGACGAGTGCGCTTCGCAACCGTGCTACAACGGTGCCACCTGCATCGATCTGCCGCAAGGCTATCGATGTCAATGCGCCAACGGATATTCCGGAATCAATTGCCAAGAGGAGAAATCAGATTGCCGGAACGACACGTGTCCCGAGCGAGCCATGTGCAAAGACGAGCCAGGATTCAATAATTACACCTGCCTGTGCAGATCCGGCTATACCGGAGTCGATTGTGACATTACAGTAATGATTTTATTAGTTTCTCTTCTCCTGCTCAACTCCCCGCCCCATCCCCCATCGCCCATCCCACCTCTTCGCTCCCTCCACGTATTTATCCACGTGCGATAGGCGAAAGTCGAAGAATTTTATCGAAGAAGGTTGAAATTAATTTTTAGATTAATCCTTGTACAACGAGTGGTAATCCGTGCAACAATGGAGCGACTTGCGTGGCTCTACAACAGGGTCGCTATAAATGCGAATGTCTACCGGGTTGGGAAGGACAGAGCTGCGAGATTAACACCAACGATTGCGCCGAGCGGCCGTGTCTTCTAGGCGCCAACTGCACTGATTTAATCGATGATTTTACCTGCGATTGCCCTCCCGGCTTCACTGGCAAAAGATGTCACGAGAAGATCGACCTCTGCTCCGGCAATCCTTGTTTAAACGGTAAGGAAACGATAGCTTCGGCAATAACAATCTTGAATTATCTATACAAAACGTAGAGATGAAACTGCAATGTATGCATGTGCACGATGATGCTCGAGTGAAATAGAGTTTGAGAAGCAGAATTTCTTCGAGTTAACGCACGCATGCTGAGAACAAGAGAAATATTGCAATTTAACGAGAGCTCGATTATCATATGAAAAGTCACTTTCATCTCGTCATCATTGACCATTACAATCCTATCATAATTTTTCAACGTTTATAAATACAAAGCAAATGTTTGTAATAACGTCGTAAAATACGAATACGAATAAGCCAATGGTATTAGTTTATTAATTGCTATTGTTAATGCTGTTAATTGCTGTTTACGTGTTGGCCTTGATTTAGGTATTTGCGTGGATAAGCTATTCAGCCACGAATGCATTTGCCATCCCGGTTGGACTGGCGCAGCTTGCGAGATCAACATCAACGAATGCTCGAGCAAACCCTGTCGCAACAATGGCCAATGCACCGACCAAATTAATGGTTATTCTTGCACGTGCGAGTCCGGTTATACTGGCAAACAATGTCAGCACACGATCGACGATTGCGCAGCCAATCCTTGCGTCAATGGCGGCACTTGCGTAGATCAGCTCGAAGGTTTCACGTGCAAGTGCCGGCCAGGCTTCGTGGGCTTGCAATGCGAAGCGGAAATCGACGAATGTCTCAGCGATCCTTGCAGCCCCGTGGGAACCGAGCGTTGCGTCGATCTGGATAATCAATTCATATGCCACTGTAGAGAGGGCTTTACCGGATCAACCTGCGAAACGAATATCGACGACTGCTTGACCGAGCCTTGTCTCAATGGAGCGACTTGCAGAGATGAGATTGGTGGCTTTAAGTGTATGTGTCGAGATGGATGGACTGGAAATCGATGCGAGATCGACGTGGGCACCTGTCAGAATAAGCCTTGCCAGAACGATGCTGCTTGCGTCGATTTGTTTCAAGATTTCTTCTGCGTGTAAGTAAGATTTTTGCACACTCGGCGTTCTTAGCAAGTGGCGCGACAATTATCATTGTGCATTTGCAATTTCCATCGTCAATACATGTCTAACGTAATGGAAGTTTGTCAATTTATTTCGTTTGCGTGGCTCGGTAGTGTGCCGAGCGATTTCGTAAGTAAAAACGTCAGTTGACGATACGTGGAGAACACCCGGAGTTGAAAAAGTCGTTTGCCCTCTTACAGATGTCCGTCTGGAACCGACGGTAAACGATGCGAGACAGCACCACAGCGATGTATCGGCGACCCTTGCATGCATAATGGCTATTGTCAAGATTTTGGCTCGGGTCTTAATTGCACGTGTTCCGACGATTATACGGGAATTGGTTGCCAATACGAATACGACGCCTGTCAAGCCGGTGCTTGCAAAAATGGAGCCACTTGCATCGACAATGGCGCGGGATTCACCTGCATCTGTCCACACGGATACACAGGTAATATTTACAACATTGCTCGGCAATTATCCCTCGTTTATGTACGATAAAGTGCCAATAAACGTATTTACATGTGTTAAATAAGGTAAAACGTGCGAGGAGGATATTATCGACTGCAAGGAAAATTCCTGCCCACCTTCAGCAACTTGTATCGATTTAACTGGAAAATTCTTCTGTCAATGTCCATTCAATCTGACCGGTGACGACTGTCGAAAATGTGAGTGCTACGTACAATAAATAACGTGCCTAATCAACCAATCATATAGCCCTATATAAACTCGAATAATTTGATAATATTCGCAATAAGACTACAACGTTTTTTCTCTGTTTCTTTTTATTATTAATATTATTTATTTTTATTTATATATAATTTTTTTTTTTTTTTTTTTTTTTTTTTTTTTT